ACTAAAATCCCATGAACGGTTCTTCCTTTCAGAGCATTATTTACTAATAATTAGCATAGAGCAAAAAGGCTGAAAACCCAGGCAGCAGGATGCAGCAATTAGGAAAACAAGCCAGCAGAGCTATTAGCAATGTCATGAGGCTGATGACACAAAAATTGGAGTTCGGGGCTATCAAGACAGGCAAAGTTTGAATGTTGTAACAGCCCAGTGAGAAGGGGGTGGTGAGGGACATAAGTAAGAATTTCTTTGAAAAATTATAATATGTATAGTACATAAAGCATTTCTTCAAGCTCCTATAAATATCATGCTTCTGAAAAGTAAGATTCATTTAATAGCCACTAAGAATAAAATTGAAATTTCATAAGTACATTAGCTCTGATATATTATAAGATGATGCTTCCGGAAATTATCCTCATTATTATCCAAATTATTGGTGAGAGTGATTTCCTATTCATCCAATATGCTCAAGGTAAAATATCTGGTACAGCAACCTTGAAAGCATCTGTTTCATTGTATAAAGTGGAAATTTAGGTGATTAGTTGGTTATTGACATTTTTTCTTTTTAGAAGAGTCAAACCAAATACACCCATGTGCAGAGCAGCCTCTGAACCTTATTTAATATAAAGTGGAAATTTAGGTAATTAGTTGGTTATTGACATTTTTTTTCTTTTTAGAAGAGTCAAAACAAATATACCCATGTGCAGAGCAGCCTCTGAACCTTATTTAAATACTTAAGGCTTAGTTCTCTTGGTGACTGCATGCTCAGTGAATAGGAACTCTTCTCCCAGCAAGTCACTTACCTGGGCGACTTGGCTTTTTAGCCTTTACATAGTTAGCTGCAGAAACGGCATAGGACGAACTGAAGGATCTGCTTTTGGTGAGGGTCATCATCGCAGGGTTATTCCAAGAGTCAGAACTACCAGCACTATAAAGACAGAGCATAAAGAAAAATAAATAAGCTGTTCATCAACCATTGGGGCAGAACTTGCCAAAACCCAACCATCATTTCCATATTCAACTTGCCATCTGAGTCGTGGTCCAGGTTCAGTGATAGGATCACCTTGTCCAAATGACAAAGTAGGACAACTAAGCTCAATCTCTGCTTTGTGGATTTAGAAGTCACTCATCAAGCATATGGGTTAACAAAAGCGCAAAGATAACTTTCCTACTTATCCAATTAACAGGAATCAAACACCTCTTTCTACTTATAGAACATGTTCCTCATAGGCTTCCTAACAACTTGGCAAATTAACTAGTTAAGATGCAGAGGGACTTACATGAATTGTGTTCTTTATTATTTATCATTCTTGGTATATCTAAATTAAAAAATTAAATGCTTGCAAAATCATTCAAAAATAATGTTTTTTGCAATATGTCCTTGGGAAGGAAAAGGTCAGCTACAGGGATTTAGCCTACAATTTTTTTTTCCTGGTGACACCTGGGAAAAAAAGGGTGATGATCAAAATCTCCTTGTAAACATGCGAATGATGAACCTGCTGCCAAACGCACTCACGCTATTTGTTAGATGAAAGGTATCAGACTGAGCTTCATTTAGGGAATGCTTTCTGCAGGATAGCCTTGGTTTGTCTAGGTTATCACTGTAAATAAATCTGGAATTAGTAATCTATCGGTAGAATAGAGAATGTTACATAGAGATGTAATTAATGGGATCTATATTTTGGAGATGTTCCAAACCAAAACTTAATCTGCATGCATTGCTCAAAACACAGTGTAAGCCTAATTATCTGACGCTAATCCCTGTGCTGCTCTGCATTTAAACCATGCCTACCCTTTTTTTCATTTCCAAAGCTGGCTTCCAACCAACTCTAATTGGTTGGGCCTCCCTGCCCCTGTAATTTACAATTCCTGTTTGGCAAGTAACTTCTCTAAGAGATGTGAAAGGAATAGGAGCATTGCTAACCTTGGTAAAGGTGCTTCATGCAGTTTGACGCTGGCGCTGCGATCCCGCCGTACTGGGGCCGGCTCCAAAGTGGGGAGACCTGTGGCTGAGGTGGTGGTTGTCCAAGTCGACGAAACTCGTCTCAACAAACCGGGGGGCAAGCTCTTTCTCAGGCGCTAGGAAGAAGGAGAGCCGATTTTATTGCCAAGCATATTTTCTATCACCAACCTCAATGTCATATAATGGGAGAAAATGGCTTTTACTTGGAAGCAAATTCATTAAACTATATTGGTTGACTATCACCTGTCTAAAATGTGGGTACTCAGATATGCAATAAAAGTCTGTGGTCAGACCAAATGAATATTATAAAATAACATTTTGGAATATTCACTTCAGTGATTACACAAATATAGGATTATTGGAATGACAGTCAACTACTTTTGAGGTAATTTTATAGTTTTATTAGTTCAACAGAATCTATATAACTAAACACACATGTCATTTTAGTTATTATGAGCAAAAGATTTCCTTCAAAAGTCACTTGTTTGGGGCATGAATTAATTGATATCATCTTGCACACAGTCTCTACACCAATGTGTTTATTAATTTACTTTTAATTTCTTGACGTACAAATGACAGGACATAAGAGTAAAAGAGTGGCCCTAACAGGTTTGGCTCAGTGGATAGACCCTCGGCCTGCAAACTGAATGGTCCCAGGTTCAATTCCGGTTAAGGGCAAATATCTGGGTTGCAGGCTCGATCCCCAGTGGGGAGCGTGCAGGAGGTAGCCAATCAATGATTCTCTTTCATCATTGATATTTCTCTTTCTCTCCCCCTCTTACTTCCTCTCTAAAATCAATAAAAAATATATGTAAATAAGAAGAGTAAGAGTGTAACATAAAATGCACCACCTCTTTGTGGTTAATGTCGCTTAGACCTCAGGCCTATGGGTAATGTCATCAGTATCAATTCCTCCTAATAGGAGACTTGCTGGTTGACCTGCAACATTCTTTTTTTTAAAAAAAGTATATTTTATTGATTTTTTACAGAGAGGAAGGGAGAGGGACAGAGAGCCAGAAACATTGATGAGAGAGAAACATCGATCAACTGCCTCCTACACATCCCCCCCAACCAGAGATGTGCCTGCAACCAAGGTACATGCCCTTGACCGGAATTGAACCTGGGACCCCTCAGTCTGCAGGCTGATGCTCTATCCACTGAGCCAAACCGGCTAGGGCTGCAACTTTCTCTTTATTATTTCTTCTTTCATATCCTAAGTGGGGTATGTGGCATCATCAGCACTGAGGCAAGATTCTGAGCTCACTAGGATGAACACCAGTATGGTAAAGAGGGCCTTCACCTTAAAAGTGAAAGTGGAGGTATTCTGCTACAACTGCAGCAACTGTTACAATAGGTAGGAGCTCAAACCATTGGTCAATAGACCAATCATGGAAGCACAGTTTATAAAGATGCAGTCTGCTCTCCTCAGGATTGAGAAATTTCTGAGAAGTGAAATATATACCTCTGATTCTAAGTAGTTCTCCATGCCTCTTAAAGATCTTAATTTGCATCTCAGAAGGTAATTCAATAGCAAGACAAAAGGTCATACACTGTAAACACCAGGATTGTTGCCTATAAATCTGTCACTGACTTGATATCTATTTTGAGAGCCAAAGGAATCAGTTAATCTCATTGTGCTCCATGTCATGCTGAGCCATACCTTTCTCAGAGAAGTAGATGTTGGAAGGAAACTATGTAACAGCTAATTGACAAAGTTGTATAAAGAACACATTCCTGAGCCAAGAGACACAACAGCAAGAGCTTGCATGTTACTGATTGATCACCAGTTCAAGAGAATGGCTGCTGGTTTCCCAAACAGATAACGGTGCAGGACGTACCAGGGACCACTTCAGTTCTGACTTATTATTTTTAGTCTTTAAGACGACTTGTTCTCAACTAATGTGAGGTCTAAACCAAGTTTAGAACTTATTCCCTATAGCTTACTTCTATAAAATTCTTAGTATATCTTACGTGTAAAAAGAAAAAAAATTATACAAAACACGAAGACCATTTTTTACTTTAAATAATCCAAAATCAACTAAAACTGTTCTGAGTTCAAATCTTACTGGGTTTGGGAAAGCCCTCAGGGTACACTGAAGGATACCATACCAAGAATGCAAAGAGCGAAGAAACTGTGTGTTTCAGCGGCAATGGATTTTACACAGAAGCCACACTAGAATGGGACCAGGGACTTGTTGTTCTGCCATGACCTTATCCCACCCAACAGGGCCTGGCATATAGAAAGTCTGAATAAAAAAAGGTAACGTAAAATGGTAAAATTTTAATTTACAGAAAGCAATCAAGTGTAAGGACAGAAGTCTTCACGTTAGACTTTCATTACTCTGGTCACCATGATCAAGACATCTCACTGAGACACTGACTTAAATTAGCATACGGGTTCGGAGTGACAGGAGAGAGACCTAGAGGAAAAGAGAAAACATGTAGGCTTTCCAGGGCTGTGTCATTCCCACCTACCTTGGGAATGGCCAGCTTGTCTTTTTCGGAGCTTTCTTCAGAATCAGAACAGGTATAGTTTTCACTGAAGGAAACGGCGGGATTCACTCGGGGCTTGTGAATGGCCTGGAAGGTGAGCTGGGTGCTGAGCAGGTTGCTCACGGCCCTCAAGGATGTGCACACATTGGGGGGCAGAGAAGGGTCTGCCAGGAGGTCGGTAATGAGGCCGTGAGCCTCGCCCATCACGGCAATGTCCACAGTGATGCTGGTTCCTGAAGACTGAGACACCGGACAAAGGAACAGTCAGAGAAGCAGAGGTCTGCACCCGAAGGCACAGAGCATGGAATTGGGCTTGTTTGCCAAATGGACTGAACTGACTCTTTGGGGCTACGGGAGAGTAACGTTCAAAACCCGTTTCTGTTTCAAACTTTGCCAAAATTTGCCACGGCTTCCGCCATGTTTGTGTTCATGGCACACTTTTTATAATGCTAAAATTTGGGAAGGGGGGGTGGATATATTTAAAGAGATTAAACACATAAACATTAATTTTTAAAAGGCACAACATTTCAGAGGACCTGAGAAAACTTCATATTCCTTATTCCTTATGAAGAGCTCGACATTTCAATGTATATTATCTAGAAATTTCATTTTGGAAATAACATTGTTAATATACTATACGATTTTAATTTTAGTAATTTCTTTCTGAAAAGACAAAACTTTAGTTTTATTAAAATATAATATTTTAGCCTAGTTTGTGGTACCTATTCAACAACTATTAGAGATAAGCACAAAAAGGAACTCAATTTGTGTTCAAATTCACAAATTGTCCCTCTTCTGGTGGTTGGTAAGAATAGACATTTTAGTTCTGGAATTCTGCAACACATTTATTATGTTTTGCCAAACTGCCTATCAGACTGAGAGACATTAGTGTGGTGAAGGCCCATGTGTGTGTGTGGGGGTGGGGTGGGGGGGAGGAGGGGGGGTGGAGAGGGTCCATAGGAAGAAAAAAAGGATGTGCCCTGACCAGGAATTGAACCATGACCTCCTGGTGCATGGGTTGATGCTCAACTACTGAGCCACACCAGCCAGGCATTACCTTCATTTTTATTAGTAAAAAATAACTTGGCAAAATCAGAATCAGATAGCTGGAACTTAGAAATGCTGGGCTGCAAACACTCTCATGCTTCAGCTTAAGTGCTGAGCTAGTTAGTACACTGGAGTAAATACCAAGCCTTTTCATCTTAAGTTCTTATGTATACATACTTGTATTTAATGTCTTATTTAATCACTAGAGGCCGGGTGCATGAAATTCATGCACGCGGGGGTGGGGGTGGGGGGAAGGTCCCTCAGCCCAGCCTGCACCTCTCGCAGTCTGGGAACCCTCAGGAGATGTCTGACTGACGGCTTAGGCCCTCTCCCCAGTCGGACATCTTTAGTGCTGCTGCAGAGGCAGGAGAGGCTCCTGCCACTGCTGCTGTGCGCACCAGCCGTGAGCCCAGCTTCTGGCTGAGCAGCGCTTCCCCTGTGGGAGCACACTGACCACCAGGGGGCAGCTCCTGCGTTGAGCGTCTGCTCCCTGGTGGTCAGTGCACATCATAGCGACTGGTCATTCTGCTGTTCAAGTTGCATATTAGCCTTTCATTATATAGGATTGGGCCATGTTTTTATCTGTGTGTAGGCCTAAATATATATTATAAACCAGTATAAAAATTTAGTGTAATAGAAACAGCTTTACGATGTATAATTATGTACATTTCACTTATGTATCTATATTGTTAACTTCCAAAATGTCCACAAGAAATGCCAGTGAACTAGGTTAACATTCTCTTGTAGAAACATAAATTTTCAAATGTATCTCTAATTATTATGTTTCTGAAAAACTCAGTATGATCTTCTGAAAGAGTAATATTTATTCCTACCCATGTCATTCTAATAAAGTTGAACTAACAAGTTGCACACCTTCTCTAAAAAATTGAAAATTTAAGTCAAACTTTGTTTCCAGGACATACATTTGTAGACTTTCTGACATTGAAATTAAGAGTTTATGCTCTAATAATTAATATTTAGAGAGATTTTCTCAAAATGTTCTCAATATTTAAAACTTACAAATCTGAAAAAAGTAGAGCATTTTCACTGATAGTTAGAATTATAATTTTTAAAATAAATTATTGGTGAGAGAACAGTGTTTTCATAAATCTTTAATTTTATATATTTTTTAAAGAAATAGATGTATTTCTTATATACTCAAAAACATTAAAAATTTCAAGCTAAAGTAGAAACAGAACTATCCTCATAAGTCATTCAGTGTTAACATAAAAATTTAGGAAATAAGCACATTACATATTTCAATAACACTTGTGCTAAAGCCTTTGTGAGAGCAAAATTCTTTAAGTGAAAAAGAATAAAAAGCATTATTCAAGCCAGTAAGAAGTATTTAACCATATTGGAATTGGCTAAGAAACCAAAGTGAATACTTTTACCATTGAAACTCTTCCCGCTATTAGTAAGTCAGGTCTTTGCTTTATTGGCTTATTGGTATAACAGTAAAAAGTTGTATCGCACATAAGACATTATCACCACTTTTTGACTCAAATAGCCAGAGGTTTCAAAGAAGCATGAAATCTTAAACCAACAATCAGATCCATCTGCCAAGGAATCGCCAAGACTAACCACACATAAAATGCTGAAAGCCTGGAAGACAGACTGGACACTATTTCAGTAAACAGCAGGCAAATAACAAAGATGCAGGCATGTCTAGGGGGTCACCATGCGGGGATTTTAGGGGAGAGGAGCTTTGGTGGATGGCAGAGTTTTCTCACATGATGTATAGAGTCATATACAATGGAATGACTCTCACAGAGGGTAGTCCCACACCTATTCAACTTTCAATAGTACCACTAAATTTCTAAGTATATCAAGTAATACTCAGAAATATTTCATTTAACTTATGAAATCTTAAAAAGTGATAACAAATACTCAAGGTAAAGTTTATACGAAAGTTACTTTAAAGGGAAGTCTTAAGCTAACAGCCTGAAATCATCTTTGAGTGCAGTAATGAACTATACTAAGCATAAAACCACAGTTGAGTCTTTTTATGGAGCAGATCAAACAAATCTTTTCATTTAAAGAAAAAAGTAACCAAGCAATAAAAAATATTCTACTTCGTAGGCTCTCCTTATAATAGAAATATTTATATTTAACATTTAAGAAAATGCAAGTATAATTTCCCCAGACACTGTTTAAATAATAACCAAATTTGGATTGCCACCTTTAAATAGAAAATCTGGAATTTAAGTCGGATAAACAGTGGAGGAAAATGCAGTTTTATATATCAAACCAAAAATAACTGATTTTCTTGGCTTTAACATTGATTTCTGTTAAATTAAGGAGGGGAGATGCAACTGTAAAATTCAAAAAGAAAATGATAACGTATCTGAAAGATTTTCAACTCAGAATGCTTCCAAGTGCCCAAGTCATTTCCACGATAAACAACACCCCTCTCACTGACAGTTGTAGACAATGAAATGTAGGTGTGGTGGATGTAAGAAAGACAACTGAAAATTCAATATAGTGGACACATAGTCAAAGAGAAAGTCTTGGTTCTCCATCAAAAACTGCGTGAAAGCCGGCAGATTTACATATAAACTATCTCTCTAGAGGTACAGAAAATATATGTCATTTTTTAACTCTCTGCTTTAAAAATTTCTTACAGTAACAGACCAACTACTGGTCTTGACTGGTATACGAATTAGCACTTGGGATGCAAAAAGACACAAGTGCATATTTTCATCATGTACATAATTTAGAAGGTTGTATAGGTGAGAAGCTGGAGAGCCAAGTGATAAAGAACTAGGATATCAGAGTGAAATTTTTATTCACTCATCAATATCAAATTTTTATTTTATGAGGTAGTACATGGACTTCTCAGAGCACAGGATCTTCCTGTGTTCATATTTCACATTTGAAATTAGGGATTTTAGAAAATTCATCTATATTCTTGTTTCTCTAAAAGGGGGCTAATAATCATAATACCTGCTGTGTAGTATTATTGACGATTAAATGAGATCAGGCACACGTAGAACTCAGAAGAGTGCTTGGCCCGTAGTATATGTTTGATAAATAATTATAGTCACCATTATTATTATTATCATTATTATTGCATTGAAAAAACTGTGTGTACAAAGAGATGCATACTGTGCTTGCATGTTTGTCTCTTACTTACACTGAGCCAGTAGTTTATAAATGAAGGCAGCATAGAGATACGATTTCACTACCAACAACCACAAAATAAAACAACAAAAACAAAATCCCAAATACTTTCACTTCTTATTCTAGGTAAACAAAGGCATAAAGATTATACTCGCTAATACTTCTGAGATTAAATGTAGTAATTGTACAAAAGTCCTGCTTTTAGTTGATATGGTTGATTGCACTGGTATGATTTATAACACAGTATGCGAAAGGAAATCTAAAAGCATGCATCTTAACTCCATTGTTGGAAGTGATTTTTGGTCTTTGTTTTTTTCTGTCTTTTTAGTCATCCTGGGAAGCACCCTGGGAGGCAAACAACATGGGAAGAACATTCTCAGGGTGAAAAGGGAATTGGGATACGTAAGAGAGGAATAAACAGTGTAAGGGATGACACATAAAGGGAGAGAATCACTGGGACTTTTCTCACCCAACTTTGGTCCTCAATGCTGGGAAAAGATGCCTGCTGGGTTTGGGGGAGCTGTCTCCCCATACTTGTCTAAAGTAGTTTGCCACCACCCCGCACCCTCCAAATCTTTCTCTGGGAGGCTGTCTGTGACATTAGGAAGAGTCCTATCTTGGTCTTTAATGGATTTAGAAGAAGAGCAGGATTCAATACATGATCTTTGGTGTATTACTGGTTCTGACCCCAGAGCCAGCAAAATGGCATATGTGTTTATACTTTCATAGGACCCATTTATAATTTTAGACTTGAAGTTGGTTGGGAAATTTTTAAAAAATGAAATCATGTGAAAATTTTGCAGTAACTCATTGTAGGCTGAACCTTGGCTAGATGCCATCCTTAAGGAAGCAGATGTTTGCTTATTTTAATTTTCTGGCAGAGAATATGAGTTTACATTTGGATTTTCTCCTTAAGATAATATGTATGTACAGTAGGAGGAAAACATATCGGGCCCTTCATCAAACCGCTTTCCACCAACAGCGCTGCTGGCCCCATTTGAGATGTGAGACACAACAAACTCCAGCAGTTACCAGACTTCTTCACTTCACTCTCTTTTGATGTTCAAAGA